AATATTTAGTATTAATTCTTAAATTATGGTTTTTCAAATTTTTTTGTTCCTTCTTGAAATATTTTTCCTGAGGTCGCTAAACCACCCTTCCCAATTTTTKTTTTTTTGTGTACAAAATTTGGTACATATTTGGTAATAATATTTTCTAGCTCATTAGCGAAATTTTCCCATTTTGATTTTTTAAAGTTATAGCGTCTTCAGATGGATACTTCAATTCCATGAATTTCCATATCTATTTTACATATTATTGGTCTGTGTCGCGTTTGTGGTATTCGTTGAGCMCATTTCTCTACAAGCACTCGTTTCTTTATTGGTATCAGCGTATCCCCTGCTGAGGCTATGCCTATTAAAATCACCAATGACTATTCTCGTATTTTGGTTTAGGTAGTTTGAGGGCTCTATAAACTTAAATGGTGTATTGTGAGGATATTGTGATATTGCCCAGGTCTACGGTGAATATTTCTATATTGTCCTCGTYCATTATGTGTATTGATTCGATATTTAACTTGTCTCTGACAAAAATTGAACTGCCATAGGTACTTATTGTATGGACGTCGACCTATTATCTTCATGTTAGTTATAGATGGGTTATGGTCGTTTTCTTTTCTGTGGGTTTCCTCATTTCCTGTATGACTGTCGTTGTCAGGAGGGGGCTCCGCGTGGAGGCTCTTTCAATGCCCCCACAAAATTTTTAAACATTCATAACAAAATGCCATAGTATAAACAATCATTATTTTTACTATTAAAAATAGTACTATTGCGAGTAACGTGAATTTGTTGAATGTTACTTTTCTCGTGATCCACACGACATCGGACCGCTGACATAATAATTAATCACAGCTCACACTTCGATATACATAGCGAGTAACTCAGGTTTGTTATAGGTTACTTTTCACGTGACGATGACGACGTCGGACCGCTGACATAATTAATCACAGCGCACTCTTCGAATTATAGCGAGTAACTCGGAATTGTTATATTTTTTACTTTTCCACTGCAGCCATGATGCCGTACTATTGCATGTAACTCAGGTTTGTTATAGGTTACTTTTCACATGACGATGAAGACGTCGGACCGCTGACATAATTAATCACAGCGCACTCTTCGAATTAAAGCGAGTAACTCGGAATTTTTATATTTTTTACTTTTCCACTGCCATGATGCCGTACTATTGCATGTAACTCAGGTTTGTTATAGGTTACTTTTCGCGTGACCCACACGACGTCGGACCGCTG